GCTGCGGAGTTTGTTCGGCCAAATTAGTGTAGCAATCAGTGTAAGCTACAGTGCCGCCAATAGGCGTGGGGCTGCGTCGGCAACGAGGGCGACGGCCCGCGGGCCGCCGACAAAGAGGCAGACCTGCGCGTTACGCCCGCCCGTAATTGGCGCGTCTGCAGCGAGCAAAAGCAATCGCGTTCGCGGCCGCTCAATTATTGCTTCGATCGCCGCGCGGCGCTCGCGCGCGCACAAATGAAGCGGCGCTCGCGCGGCCGCTGGCTCGATATTATTAACGATCGCTGATTGATAACCCGATTATTGAAATGCGGGAGACGCAGGCCGCGCACAGCAATCGGCCAACAATAGCTGGCTCAGTCGCTTTCCAGTGGCGCAGCAGCAGCGCTGCACGGCGCGAGCCGACGCGGCACTACGCCAGAGGCGCTGGCGCGGAAAGCCCCGAGCCCCGAACCCCGGGCCGAAAAAGCGGGCAGAGAGAGGGAGAGAGAGAGATCTCCGATTGCGCGACGCCGCTTCGATCAGCTCGTCCCGACCAGTCCGCGTTGCTGAAAATTTGATTAGGCCACATAATGCTCCTCGTAGCCGTGTCTGACAAGTCTCGGGGCTATCGAATCCGGCGGAATCTAGCGCTTTGCCGGCTCGCTTCCGACCCCGGGGGTCTCCGGCGTAGTCGAGAGAGCGAGAGCTGATCCCCAGCGATATGTCAGCCGGCACTGCCGCGCTTGCTCCTTTTTCCCTCTTTTCGTCGGTTATATCGATCAGGCAGCGTGAAATGCGATTACACCCCGAGTCTCTCGGCGCCTCGTTACCGCGCTGCGCCGTTCGAGCGAGGGCGCGCGCGAAATGTCGACGGCCAAAGGCAAATGCGACGCCCGAGTTCGGAGGACGAGAACCGAGCACTGACGGACGCGTCGGAAGGTTGACCGGGCCGTCGGCGAATGTGGATCGGGCTTTGCGAAAGCCAATAGGTGCCCGTGGCACGAGGAAAAACAACGAGCGCACAGTCGATAGACAAACACGGCTCGGGTATATAATGGCAAGTGCAGAGAGCGGGCGACGAGAGTAAACATGGAAACAGGAGGTATCCGAGGCAGGCTACACCGGTTATCGAGCGATACACCGCGGCAGTTTGAGTTTCAAAATACCTGAAGCGTGTAACGCCGGAGAATTTCATAGCGGCGGCTCGAATTCAAGTCGTGTAGCAAAAAGGGCGGCCAGCCGCACGGCTCTCCATTTCACTTGGAGCCCGCGCTCGCTACACGGAATATACTTCGGCTGCAGCGCCGGCAGCCGTCATTGTGTTTGTGCTGCGCGGGGCTCGAGAGAGCGAGAGTAGGGCGCGCGAGCGGGCACGTAGCGAGTCGAGAGTTGGGCACAGCGCGCGCTACATACGTGACGTATCGCCGAAGCCCCCAGCGCTGCGGCTCGTGGCTTCGCGGCGCGCCAAATGGAAAATGCATTCTCGCCGTTCGGCCCCGAGATCCCCGTCGGCGGCAGCGCGCGACGCGCGAGCCGTCGGTGCGTTTTTGCGCGCCGGGTGCATTCTCGGCGGCCTTCGGCGGGCAGCTCGCTCGCGTTGGGCCCGCACCAAGCCGAGATTAATTAGCCAGGGGTCGCGGTGCCTCGGCGTAGTCCCACGGGCGGGTAAGATGAATCGGCGCGGGCTTCTCATTAGGCGGGCAGCCGGGCGGGCAGGCAGGCGGGCAGGCAGGCAGGCAGGCAGGCACGCGCGCGATGAATAATACCCGGTGATTTTCAATCGCGCGAGAGTAGGCCGAGAGAGCGAGAGAGCGAGAGAGCGAGAGAGCGAGAGAGATAGGGCTAGGCGTCGGCTGCAGCCGCTGCGCGCAGAATCGATATGCGAGTCGGCGACGCCCGGGGCGCGCACAGAAGCCGACACGCTCGTGTCGACAGAGACGAAGCGCCGCAACTTTGACGGGATGATGAAATTTTTGACGGCCGGCTCTCGAGCTCGCCCAAGCCCCGAAGCCCCGAAGTACCGAAAGCTTCGAATCTGGTGGCTGCACGCTCCGTCTTCCGCACATGCATCCATTATTCCGGCCTGCAGCCGCTCGGCGCTCGTTAATCTGGCCAACTGCCGGCGCCGCCGCCGCTGGCTGCCCCAATAACAGCCCTGTCGCGGATTCGTCGAGCACTGATCACCGAGCAGCTAAGAGTTACGATTACGAGTTGCGCCGGACGCGACGAGGCGACGATCGATGCCGCAAGGCTGACCAGCTTGCAGCGGTTAAGGTACGCGCTAAATATTTGCAGCTCCGGAGCGAGCGCTAGGCTTCGCGGCGCATTACGCATTCACGGCAACTCGCTCTTCTTCCTTCATCTTCTGCCGAGGGCACTTGAAGCTCAAAGTGTCGCACTTGCGGATCCGGCAGCCGCGCGCACACGCCGACTGCATCCCCAACGATCATTGGGATTTCGCGAGATATATTCTTTTGACTTGCTTCTCTCTATCTCGCGTATGCGCTCACCACGGGACATTTTGCGAGCAATCGCGCAATGTCAACAGCAGCGCGCACCCCGGCCACACTCTACAAGTTCCGGACTTTTCCAGCTCATTTCGCGCCCCGCTTTTTCCGTCTCTGCATCTTTGCTGCTTGGTCGACGACGGCTGGCGGTTTAGAGGCTATCCCGCGGCTCTCGCGACGCGCCGCCGACTCCCGAGAGGCGAAGAGCGAGAAAGAGAGTGGGCCGCTAGGTCGCAGCTCGAGTAAATATCTTGCAGCCAGACGTTCAGCCGAATTGAATAAATATTTTTCCGCAAATACGAACGACAATGGGCCGCGAATTCAAAAGTTGCTGACGACGCCGCCGACGACGACTGCGCGAGCACGAGGATAACGTAGGCAGCCCGACAATTGAATATTCGCTCTCGCGCAGCGCGCAGCACACGGCAGCTACAGCTAGCCTTCAATTTCGGCTCCGACGACAGTTATCGAAGAGAAGTGCGCTCCGGTTATCTTCTACCTGCCCTCTCTCTCCTCTCTCCTCTCTCCTCTCTCCTCTCTCCTCTCTCCTCTCTCCTCTCTCCTCTCTCCTCTCTCCTCTTGCCTTCTCTCGCGCTCGATTCTTGCTGAGCCTCGGTTATAAATGCTAATACACCAGATCAGTTGGCGTATAACTGTTGGGCGAAAAGCTATAATACTTTCTCGAGGGGCGCAACGGCGCGCTGCCTGCAAGATGCCGACTTGGCCCTCTCAACTTCCGCTCTCTGGCTGGCTCTCTGCTTCCCGCGAGAAATTCGTTGCGAGCAAAACTACTTCGCAGACTTTGCAGCTGACAACGCCAATTTCTCAAAAGAAAACGAAACGCTATTTCCACCTCCCTCTCAGCCCGAATCTCGCGGCCAAAAGATTATTCGCCGCATCGGGTGTGCCTTTTTCTCCGGGATCGCGCACATTCGAAGCAGGCGCTTGGCCCATGGATAGACCGAACGGCGCATTGTTGGTCGGCGAGTTTCCGCGCGCGCGCGAGAGAGATAAGCGGCGCCGGATTGAGCTGCAGCGGCCAAACAACCGCTCGAGCGAAACAGGCAGGTTGGCAGGCAGGCAGCAGGCAGGCAGGCGTGGCGTGGCGTGGCGTGCAAGTTCATTCACGTCCGATGTCGTCGGCATACCTATACGTCTGGGATCTGTCCCCTCTTCGCGATGGCAAACTTATCTGGCGGCGCCAGCGGCTGCCGCGAGGCCGCAAGCAGTTTAACCGATAGTTTGCCGTTCGATTGGCTGACTCCCGCACCGCAAACTGTCCGTCTGTTTCGCCGCCGCTGACTCGCGAGACGCGCGCGCACGCGTGCAACCGCACTTCGCGTGGCCCATTCGTACGGCCAGCCAGGCCCGCGCATTCACGCATACGTATCGACTCCTCGCCCTGCAGCTCGAGACTGACGGCGGATCTCGCACCGATAAATTGCCGGGGCTCCGTCGAATCTGGAGAAGCGCGCTCGGGCTATCAATTCGCAATGTCACTGGATGTACGAGCTCGCGGCCGCTCGAGCGTGACTTGCTCCGGCGCGATAGCTGCGGCCTCTTCTCGCGAAGCCGCACCGCGGGGCGCGTTCGCTCGGCTGGCTGCCCCGGAGGGGTCCGGCCGGCGCTCGGCTGGGCCCGCTCGCGAGCGCGCGACTGCGACTCTTCCGGCCCTGCTTATCGCGCCAGACCGAGCGGAGGAGACCGCCTTTGCTGGCTGCGCCCTCCCCAGAGACGCCAGGCGTACGCGCTCGGCTGCAGGGATCTCCGCCGGGTTTCCGGCTTCTCCCGGTTTCCGGTGCGCGCGCGGCCGTGATTTAAATATCACTCCTGGGAGATGCGCACCAAAGGCAAAGGCGAAGTCAAAGGCGGGGGCGGGGGCGGGGGCGCGGGCGACAGCCGATCCTGCGCCAGTCGGTCCGGTCGCCGCGATCCGTCTCCGGGCTGATCGTCGTTCCGCGGGTTCGCCGTAGCGTGCATACATTTATGGATGCGGCCGCGAGTCGCATCTCCGGCCGCACGGCGCATCGATCCGTCTCCGTGCCGGGCTCGCGCGCTCATCTCGATCGCACCGCTCGTCGCGGCCCAGCAGCACGCCCGAGTAGTCGTCCGAGCCGCGCAGCGCGGCTGCCACTTAATTTTTCAGTCGGCGAGCAGCGATGCATAATGGATTCGGAGTAGGGCCGCCCGAGGCATCCTCGCGATTTTCCGCGCAATTTGCCGAAACTCTCGGCGCTCGGGATGATTCAAGGTTACGCGCGCGCGCGCCAAGCCAAGCCAGTCTTTCTGCTTAGCTCTCGCCAAGATTAAGGAGTCTTAGGACTTTGCTACGGTTGCTTAGGGAGCTTTATGGCCGCTCCAGCTCGGCGCTCGCGATTCGACTCGACTCGCATTATCACGCCTCGGCGCGGCGCGGCTGCAATGGCTGCTCCAAGCCACCCGGCGACTGCAGCCACTGCAGTGGCAGCTGCTTCGGCTGCCCCACTTACTCTTCGCTCTTGCTCCGCGTTACAGATAGACCAGGAGCGGAGTCGGCGACAGGCGGCTGGAGGCCTGGCCGGGAGCGCGGCATCGCACTAGTCATGGCATCGACGCCGCGGGACGCGTCTCTCGGGCGCCGTCGGCTTGGCCAAGACGCATCCAACAACGAGCCGCCACGACGAGCAGCCCAAGGCGTCGCGGAGGAGTATTCGTAAGCGCTTCGCCGAGAGCTGCCACGGGAAGTCGCGGCGGGCGCTGCAACTGGGCGCCTCTTCGATCTCCAGCCGGCGGCGCCGTCGCTCCTTCGGAAGTTCGCCGGGCACAGACGTCGAGGGCGTCGGTTCGAGGCCGAGCGCCGAGAAGGCGCGACCGGCGCGGCGCGGCCGCGAGCCCCATGAGCGACCCGGCGCGTGCCGGCGACGGCTCGCGCTGACGGGGTTGCGGCCGTCCACGCGGCCGGGCAGCGCCATGCACGCGAGGCCAGCGGCGCGCCCACGGCGGCAGCAGCAGCGGCGCCAGCCGAGCGAGCCCAAGGATGTCTCGGAGCAGCTAGAGCAGCGAGCAGCGTGAGCGCGAGTAGCCAAGGGAAACCTTGGGCGGGGCAAAGCAGCGAGACTGGAGCAGCCGGGCAGCGAGGTCAGCCCCTTGACCTTGGCGCCGGCGGGCCACGCGGGCACCATTAGCAGGCAGACCGAGAAGCGGGTCACCTTCCTCGAGCAGCCGGTCGTCCAGGCGTGCCAGCAGCAACAGCAGCAGCAGCAGCAGCAGCAGCAGCAGCAGCAAAAGCCGCAGCTGGAGGCCCCGCTAGCCGCGGTCTGCGACGTCTGCTACGCGAGCTTCTGCGCGGTCGAGCCGCACGAGCAGCGGCCACTGTGCGCCCGACACCAGCAGCCGCCGGCGCACTACCGCCAGGCCGCGGAGGACCAGGAGGAGGAGGAGGAGGAGGAGGAGGGCGACGACGAGGAGGCACTGCCGCCGCCGCCGCCCATTCTCCACGACGAGGACTGCGAGGTCGCCAGGATGGAGAAGGACGCGCTCGGGGCGCCGCGGCCGGCCGCTTGCTACCGCGCCTACGAGGGCCTCAAGTCCGCCAACAACGGCAACACCTCGTCGCTCAAGCGGCCGCCCGCGCACTCGATCGCGGCCGCCGGCATGGCGGGCATGGAGCACGGCGGAAGCGGTGGCACCGGTCCCGGTCAGCCCGACGGCCACCTCAAGTCCGACGGCAAAGGCTCGTCGCAGGCACGCTGTCTCTGCTTCGGCGGCGTGCCCGACAAGTCCAGTCGGCATTCCTTTCTCAAGGGCTTCCTCATCAACTTGGCCATCTGCGCGGTCCTCGTCCTTTACACCCTGCTGGGCAGCTTTATCTTCCTCTACATCGAGGGCTCGGCCGCCGAGCCGCCGCTGCAGCAGCGTAGCCTGGCCACCACCATACCCGCCGGCCCGGCCTACTCCAGCGCCAGGCGCAACGCCAGTTGGATCAACCAGGTGATTCGTCGATCGCGCGCTCCCCTCGCCTACGCGGTTCTCTCTCGCTCTCTCTAACGCCACCAACTGCGATATCCTTGCAGATCAACGAGGCGCGTGTGCGCACGGTCGAGAGCCTGTGGCTGACCACGGAGAGGCTCAACATATTGTACCGCGATAACTGGACGAGGCTGGCCACCGAGGAGATCATCCGTTTCCAGGAACAGGTGGTGCGCACCCTCACCGATAACCTCGGCGCGGCGGCGCACAGCTCCGTCACGCACAGCCTCAACGACGACGTCACCGGTCGCAAGATCGTCAATTACGAGTGGAACTTTGCGAGGGCCTTCCTCTACTCGCTCACCGTGCTCACCACCATAGGTCAGTGTCTTGGGCTCCTCCGCTCCGATCAACAGGCCGACTGCTCGCGATAACACGCTCATTTGCAGCGCCCGAGGATTCCGCGAAGAAATACGATCGAGTGCCGAACGAAACTCGCTATTTGTACGTATTTAGTGGTTCCGGCTATGGCGGACGTTACGGGCACATTGGCTAGCCAGCGCGCACTCGGATAATTACTCCAAGCAAATACTGTACAATCCAACTCCGAGCGTATACCCCCCGCCCCCCTTCCCGCCGACTTTGGCTCGCGCTAACACCGATGTTTCAGCCACAGCTTTCCTATTTACCTAAATGGCATTCCGCTACTTTGGCGGTACCTCTTTCTCTTGCGCTTGTCCATTCGGCCCGTGGTAAGCGACCGCGCTGCGGCCCGCGGCGCCGTCGTTCCAATTTTCCGTCGGTCCGCCTTGCTCACTGGATTCGGGGTGACGAGCTGATCGGGTAATGGTCGCTTGCAATGACGAGACTCGAACAGTTGGCCGGAGATTGAGCCAATAAAGTCAAAAGCTGATGCCACTTGTGCGCGAGCGATTAGCCTCCGGGTCAAGAATCTCGACTCGAGCGAGGCGCTTCGCGACATGCCAGTCAGAGGTGCGGTTAGCGCACGAAACTCGAGGCCAAAGGCTGACTGCGCTCAAGTGGAGATTCAGCATCCATCGGACGTCAAACGGGAAATGAGTTTCTGGCGCGAAGGCAAACATTCGCAGCCGAGTGAACTTGCCTGAAGTTCCTTTCGTCTCTCGAGCCGTGATCCCTCATCCGTGGCTCTGCGGCTCAACCTCCTCTCATCTTTCTCCTTGACTCGCTTCTTTTCGCCCGCGACGAAAGACGCCGCAGCCGCCGCCGACGGCGACACCCGAGAAACGTCGCCGCCTTCGCCCTGCCTCGTTCGCTTAGTAATTACGATTTAATTGCTTAATTAGCAAGTGCCGCTGGGCCGGGACTCGGGCAACGAGTCTGCCGGCGAGAAGTCAAAGACTCGTGCTCGTAGGCTAGCCTCGTTGGCTGTCCGCGAGGTTGGCTCTCGCAGCCGTCGCGCAGCCGTCGCGCAGACCTTTGCGAATCGCTTCTTTCCGCGATAGTCCCTGAAATTACACGCGTACGCGCGACGCGCGACCACCACTTATTCCGCCGAGCGACATTATTTCAAAGCGGACTAAATTGAATTTTTCGAGCGACAGTTATTTCATGATTATGTCTCTCGAGAGGCGAGATTTGCTGCTACTACTACCGGCGCGCGCCTTCATCTCTGGATTTGCAAGACACTTTAGGAGTGCGCATTATGGAGGGCGGAGCTCGATCCAACCACTCGCGGGAGTATCTGAGTGGGATCCGATATTGCATTCTGTTTTTCTTCTCCGCATCGACGTATAATTGGATTCCGTATTATTGCACGCACAAGATCTTTCACGTTCAAAGTAGATATGCTGATAAGTTGCCGTGGAAAAAGATTGGTTTTCTCCGGGCTAATGCGAACTCGTGGCAGAGCAGTAATTTGAAAAATAAAATAAGAAAAAAAAATGCACTCCTAGAGAAGCAGAAGGAACGCGAAGAGAAGATGGCCAGAGGAAAGTGGCGAGGAGATAAATTTGATGCTAGCCATGCATGGCGAAGCAACCTTGTTGAAGGACGAAAATAACACCGCAGCGCTTTATTGCCAAGTCAACTTTCTAGATGAGTTTGCTCTTTTATCGCTTCGTCGCGGAGATCTTGCAACATAATCGGCCGAGCTTTCGCGAGCTTCACCAGTGGAAATCGAGATTTTCAACAATTAATTAGCCGGCAGCCGAAGCAAAACTTTCTTTATCGGTTTATTCGAGCACAAAAGTTATTGTGCGTACTCGGGGACAGAAGTGGGCAAGTTAGAGGAGCGGCGGGCGCGTTCACAAGTTGGGAGCCGCGCGCGAGACCGAGCGAGCGACGCTCGAGGCGCGGCTTTTACGTACGCGCTGCTTAGCTCAAAGTTTTTCACCGCGGAGACGCCGGTAAAGGGCGTCGATAAATAGCAGCAGCAGCGCCGACGGCGGCGGCAGCGCGTTGGCAGCCTCGTCGTTGAGTGCTATCTCGGCGACGAATAAATTTCGATGATTCCGCTTGGCTACTTTGCCAAGCAACCGTGGGCTATTTATTTAGCGCTTTTACAGGGATTGCGCGGCCCAGCGCCGCCACACTGGCTAATTAAAACGAGGCTGCATCAATTAGCTACGAGGATTTCTTATCGGGCGAGCAGCCACTTTTCACTGGCGCTCGCCCTCCTTCTCGCCTCGCTTCTTACGCGAAAGCCGATTTGTTTGCTTGTCGCACGCGGTGCTGGTCATTTTCCACTTGGGCTGGCAGTCGTCCGGCCGAGGAGATTTCTAGCGCTATTTTATCGTCGTCTCGCGAGAATACGCAGGCATTGAAATTAAATCGATGCGGCGCGCTGCAATCGTGGCCTAAAAGCCCCGGCGTTTCGCGAGCGTGCGCCGATCTTGCAAATCTAATAGAGTCCGAATCGCGCGCTCGCAGATGCGATTAAAACTCGGCCGTTGGGGCGAAAAACGGGAAAAAAGCGGGGACAAGCTTCGGCCTCGGCTACTGCACTGCCGACTGGTTCGCGGTGGCGTCCGTAAAATTCGAATGCAAAGCAACGCGGACAAAGGGGGCCAGACAGAGGAATGAAAGAGAGAAGAGACGCGATGCCGGGAACAAGCGTAGGTTCAGCGCGACTGCGAATAGTTGGCGAATGACCGTTGCTGCTACATTTCCCGGATGGGCTGTAAATGAATAAAAGCCGGGCGCATAAGCCGGCAGCGACAAACGTACTTAGGCTCGCACGATTGTTGTAAAAATAGGATTCGAGCGCTGCAACGAAGACACCTATTGTCGCTAGATTATTATATTGCGCGAGTCGCAGGCCGCTCTTGTCCTGCCGTTGTTTATTTTCCAACTAAACTATTAAAGCTATTTGCTTGATATGAATAAAGCAAACTTTGCTTTTCTGAAGTCGCCTCGGAACGAAAAAAAAATTATTCACAATGCTGAAAAAGCTCTCGTTAAAGTTGTGAAAGTTCTTCGTAAAGCCGGAATAAAAAGTTATTTATTCAAAAGTATGTCGAGTCTTGCTTTAATATTTTCTGGTGTATTTCAATTCCCAGCTGGATTTCCATACTCTGGCTGTTCTCAAACAAGGCTTACAATGGCAAATCCTCGATGACCTTCATGGCGTATAAAATAAAAATAAATGAATGCATAAAAGGGACGCTGTTATTTTTGCTGTGTGCTCTTGATTCGTGCTGAAAGGGACGACAAGAAGGGACGCGGCAATGATGAGGAAGCTAGCAGCTTGATTGAAAAAGCTCGAGAAATCACGAATTTGAAGAAAGCAAAGAAGAGGGCGAGCGAGTGGAAGGGAAAGAGAGGCAGGGTAAGAAAGTAAATGGGGGCAAAGACGAGCAAGACTAAGGTACGCAAACAGCCTGCGGCTCGTCGATGTAGCTGCTTTGACACCAGTTGTCTTTTGCAAACAGCTATCGCTCGTTCCTTTCGCTCTGGCTCGCTGTGAACGTGAATTTTCGCCTCGGACTTGAATCGGATGTTTTACTTCGCCCTCGTGCGATCCCACTTGCGCCGGTTCAACTTGATAAATTTGGACTTTTCACAACTTGCTCTCGCTCTCTCTCTCTCTCTCTCTCTCTCTCTCTCTCTCTCTCTCTCTCTCTCCCTCTCTCTCTCTCTCTCTCTCTCTCTCTCTCTTGTTCAGGAGCAGTTTCTTATCAGGTGCGTCACAATTAGAAATTAGCCGTTGACGTAGTCATCTCTATTTCTTTTCGAGTAAATATCAAAGTCGAAAGAGAGAGAGAGAGAGAGAGCGAGGGAAGAAAGCATCTTGGTTTCTTGGCTGGAATCTCAATAATGCATCTTGGGGGCAATCGTTCGAAAATGCGCCTTGCGTATTCGATTCGCTGGATAAAGTCGAGACGGGATGAAGAAAAAAACATGGAAGAAAAACAAGGCGAGGTGTCGCGGCCGGCTGATGCATTTTTCCAAGAGGGCCGCGCGAATATTTGGCCAATTGCCGAGAGCTCCACGCTGCCGCCCCCGTCTCTGGACGCACACCAAGAAAGTGAAATAACTCGCAGCCGGCGGACTCTGTCGTTTTTGCCGTCCGCAAATATTGCTACTGCAGCTTCTTCGTAAAGAACGCGCGGGCTGTTAGATTTTTTCCTCTCGCGCCGGAAGACTCGCATTTCGCGCAAATTTTCCTCCTCGGCCCTTTATCGCCCGCTCTTTTCCTCTCCGCTTCGAGTTGCTCGCTCTCGCACAGTTTTTTCTAGACTAGCGCCTGGCATTACGCGCGTTTACGGGGCAAAGAGCCTCCGCCTCTCGGCTACGTTTCTTCGCGAATTACCCGGATGGTCCTCAGTGTGTCCTCGCGGATATTACAAGCGGATCGAAAGGTTTGCGCTTTTGGCGGCTCTTCTCCTCCGCCGCTCGAATTGCTATTCATTTGGCGGTTGACATAACAATGTTGCGATCCCACCGGCATCGCAGCGGAGGGCTATGTGTGCGCATCGTCGAATGACACATTAGCAGTTCGTCGATGTTGTCCTTGGTGGGTAGAGCAACCAGCTGGCTTCCGATTGATAAACAGTCGAGTGCTCGCGGCGCTGTAGCGTGCTCTCGCGCTCGTCCTAATGGACTGCCGAGCGCCGAGCTTGGCTTTGCTCGCGCCGCTCGTGCTGTTGCGTAGCCACGGCGAAGCACGCTTTTGCAGGCTTTCGCAGCGGCTCCGCAACGATCGCAGCGCCCTATTAGTTTCGTATCGAGCTTCAATCCTCTTGACAGGCGCAATTTGCTCGACTCGGGCTACGGAGTAGGTCTGGACGACCGCAATAACAATTCCAGTCGGCTGCTTTGCATTTATCATCGTCAGCTCGCTCTCTCGCTCCCCGTCCTCCCTTTGTCGTTTGTCGAGTCGCTTGTCGCTTGTACCGCGA